GCGGTCTTCTTTGTCAGAATGTTATATTGCTTACTTTGTGTAGGCTATAGTGGGGTAGCCCATAAGGGGTACAACCCAATTAGGGTTAGTACTTGTACCCAACTCTTTCATAGTTCATTCATTTTCTCGTTCATTCTTCTGACATGGTTTCAGTGCAGGTCCTTCGCTAGGACTGATTTTTTTTAGGGCCCACCACAGAGCTGCCCCACTAGCTGCCCTACCCTACCAGCGCGCCGCCCTGCTGGCTCACATGCCGCCCTCTGCAGCCCTCGTGTCGCACCTGCTGCCCCCCGCGCCGCCCCTTTGCGGCCCGCCCGTAGCCCCAAGGCCTTGCGCGTCGCCCCTTGAGGCCCGCCCGTCGACCCTAGGCCCCGTGCGCCGCCCCTGCAGGCCCGCCCGTCGACCCTAGGCCCCGCACACTGCCCTTGCAGGCCCGCCCGTCGACCCTAGGCCCCAGCGCGCCGCCCCTGCAGGCCCGCCCGTAGCCCCTGCTACCCCGCGCGCCGCCCCTTACGGCCCGCCCGTCGACCCTAGGCCCCGCGCGCCACCCCTGCAGGCCCGCCCGTTGCCCCTGCTGCCCCGCGCGCCTCACCTTGCGGCCCGCCCGTCGACCCTAGGCCCCGCACGCCGCCCCTGCTGCCCTACTCGCCGCCCCTGCAGCCCCGCGCGCCGCCCCTTGCGGCCCGCCCTTCGCCTCTGCAGCGCGCGAGCCGCCCCTGCAGCCCCGCGCGCCGCCTCTTGCGGCCCGCCCGCCGTCCCTGCTGCCCTGCTCGTCGCCCCTGCAGCCCTGTGCGCCGCCCCTTGCGGCCTGCCCCTTGCCCCTGCAGCCCGCGAGCCGCCCCTGCAGCCCTGAGCACCACCCCTTGCGGCCCTCTCGCCGCCCCTGCAGCCCCGCGCGCCGCCCCTTGCGGCCCGCCAGCCGCCCCTAGGCCCGCCAGCCGCCCTTAGGCCCGCGATCCGCCCCTCTTGCAGCCCGCGCGCCGCCACTTGCAGCCCGCTTGTTGCCCCTTGCTGCTGCCTGCCTTGTTTCTTGCGCTGCCCGGCTCCTACCCGCCCTGCGTACTGCGCTGCTATGGCTTCTCTCCACGTACTCGCGTTCGATCATGAGGGTCGTCCGATCCAGTTCGACACGTGGCTCGACGACTTGCAGCTGTACCTTCTGAGCGACTCTAGAGACAGCGTTTCGTTGTTTGACCACACGTCTGGAGCCTCTCCCGCCCCTCCCGCCATAGCTGACAGTGCGACTCGCTCACAGTGGCTTACTCGTGACACTGCTGCTCGCTTAGCCATTCGCAACCACCTGCCGTTAGCCGAATGCGATCACTTTGGACAGCACAAGACTGCACAGGCACTGTACGACGCTATAGTCGCCCGTTACTCCTCGCCTGCCGCGGCTGCTCTAGGTCGTCTTCTACTGCCCTACTTGTTTCCCGAGCTGTCTGCCTTTGCCACAGTAGAGAACCTCGTTACCCACCTTCGCACTAGCGACCCTCGCTACCGTGCTGCCCTCCCAGTAGAGTTCCTTGACAGGAACCCTCCCCCCTTGCCCCCTCCTACGCCTCTGCTGCTGCTGTTGACGTCCTTGGTGCTGAGGATGTCGGGGCTGCTTCTGCTAGTGGGAAGCGCCGCAGAAGCAAGGGCAAGGGTGGCAGGGGTGGTGGCGGTGGTAGCGGGGGTGGTGGTGGGGGCAGCAGTGGAGGTGGTGGAGGCAGTGGAGGTGGTAGCGGTGGTGGGAGTGGTGGCGGGAGTGGGGGCTTTGGTGGCGGCGGTGGTGGCAGCGGTGGGGGTGGCGGTAGTGGCGGCAATGGGAGTGGTGGTGATCGGGCTAGAGCTACTCAGCGGGGAGGTTCTGGAGGTGGCCAGAGGCAGCAGCAGCAGCGTCGGAGCGAGAACCCGTCGCCCCAGCAGCTTCGTGAGTGGTTTTCTCAGCGTGGGACGTCTGGGGATAGTGGTAGCTGCCCGTATGTCATTCGCACGGGTCACCGTGCTGGTCAGACATGCGGAAGCCTCACACTCAGCACCGCTGCTTCTCCCGCCTCGACAACGCTTGGCGCGCGGAGTTTGGTGACGAGGCCGAGCGCCCCCGCTGGGCAGAGCTGCTTAGGTCTGGAGTTGCTATCTTTGACCTAGACTATGATGCTATCCTTGCTGCTATGTATGCCTTGTTTGTTAGTGGCCCTACGTGATGTATATTGGTGGCCAGGAGTCGGTAGTGATGTCCAGCAGTTTGTGGCACGTTGTGATACGTGCATACGTAACAAACCTAACACACAAAAGCCTGGTGGTTTGCCTCAACCACTTGAAATTCCGAGTGAACCTTGGGAAAGTGTTTCACTGGATTTCATCACCGACATCCCAAGAACTCGTGATGGGTATACGCCGATACTCGTATTTGTGGATCGCCTTACAAAAATGGTGCACTTTGTACCCACGACAACGGAGGTATTAGCAGATGATACGGCTTGGTTGTTCGTGACGCTTGTGTTCCACCTACACGGATTGCCACAATTAATCGTGACCCACGCTTCACGAGCCGATTCTGGCGTGAAGTAACCGAGACACTAGGAACGAAGCGTAAGATGTCGTCAGCATTCCACCCACAGACAGATGGGCAAACGGATCGAACTAACCGCACTCTCGAACGAATGCTTCGTTCTTTCATAAGCCCAATATAGGAGGATTGGGACGAGTTGTAAACCTTGGTCGAGTTTGCGGTTAATAACTCGGTGCATGACAGTACATATGAAAAACCATTTATCCTGAACAGTGGTCGCCATCCCACAACACCTGCTACGCATGGGATCGACGGTTTAAAATTACCTGCCGCTAAGGATTTTGTAGGCAAGCAATGAGAGGCCCTGCAGTCGGTAAGTCGTTGGCTCCAATTTGCCCAGCAAATACAAAAATCCTACGCCGATATGAAACGCCAAAGAATTTTCGGCTTAAGATCCCTGGTGCGAGAAAGTTGTTCCCTCACTGGATTGGGCCCTTCAGGGTGGTTCAACGAGTTGGTGTGGTAGCTTATAAGCTCAAGCTACTTGATACCCTTCAGAGTCACAATGTCTTCCATGTATCTCTGTTAAGCAATTACATTGCAGAAGGCAAGTACCTACCACCACCAACAATCATCCTAGGGGAGGAACTATACTAAGAAGTCGAACGAGTGCTTTTGCATCGTGATCGACAACGCGGCCGCAAGATTGTACGAGAGTTCCTCATCAAGTGGAAAGGCTATGGGCCTGAACACAACTCTTGGGAGCCGAAAGAACATTTGACTGATACTACGTTTCAGTCTTACATGGAAGACCTGGCTCAACGAGCACTCCCACAAACAGCTGATGGTGTTGACCCTGGTCGTAATGTGGTTCGTCGTGCTCGCACCACTCGTCCTAAGAAGCACCCCCCGGCAACGAGGACGTTGCCAGCTGGAGGGGGAGGGGTGTAAAATCCTGACCCAACCCCCCTGGTCTCGATACATCGAACCAGCTGTGAGGGGAAAACAGGGTGAAACAGGATTGGTTGAGAATTGAGTAGGAAGTGAGATTGGCTAGGAATTGGGAAATGGTTGCGAAATCAACCAATCGGAAACAATGCTGTGCAATTGTTGATTGAACCTACGGGATTGGTTGGTATTGGTCGATTCTCAACCAAACCATAAACAACCTACGTAGGTTCAGCCCTACCTTAGCCCAGCCAATCAGAAATGCCCTACAATGTGTGAGTCGACAAGTTTCCGCCGAATGATGAATTCACAACCAATTGTAACATGACAGGTTTGGATAGCATTTTGCATATACATCATATTTATTCCACTCCTTTGTGCCTTGTCATTTGATAAAAGATTCTACCATTGCCACATAGGCAAAGCCCATGGAGGTGCACCCCTCCTTGCCATGGGGAAGGTGGCTACACCCCAAGGGGTAGTAGGAAGGGGGCTGAGCCCTCCAAGCGGATTCTCCATTCCTTTACCCAACAAACCAAGTTGGAAAATGAATTCTTCCTCTCTCAAGTAAACTTCCACAATTTGTTATTGGATCCTCTAGCACTCTCCAAACTTAGTCAATTCTAGGAGCTACTACTCTCTGATTTGTACTACAAATGTATTATTACATGGGTAAATGCCCTTTCTAGCTGTAGAAACGTTATATTGGCAGTTGAAGGACGTTTGGAGCGTCAGGTAGTGGTGCAAACAATACATTGTCAGAGCGACAGAGAGGCAACTAACAGAGCGGTACATACGGCGATGAGAGAGCGACATGCTGCGACGCAAGTGCGACGGATCGCGACGAGGGAGCGACCGTCGACGACCGGTAAATGGTAGTAGGTGACGATAAAGCGACAAAAAGCGTTCCACGATGGTGAAGGGCAATAGTGGGTGGAGAAAGCACGTGCGTGCAGGGGTTGGCTCCCAGCGGCGGAAGCGGCTGAGACAGCGGCGGCGATGGCGGCGGAGGCAGCATGTGCGAGCAGCACATGCTGTAGTGGCGGCGTTGGCGCGAAGAGGCGGTGGAAGCCCTCGCCGTTCGTGCTCCGATTTGATCATTTCCGTACCGGCACCACCGCCACCCCCGCTGCGTGCGCACCTCCGCGAGAGTCTGCACAAATTGGTCTGCGCGCCAGTGGGAGGGGGGAGGGGATGCGGAGCGGCGATGCGAGGCACATGGAGGGGAGGGGGGAGGTGGGATACTAGTGCGTGTGTGGGCTTGGCGGAAACGGGGCGAGGGGCGGGAGAAGGGGGATCAAGAGGCGAAGCAGAAAGACGGAGGAGGGGAGAATGGGCTGTCGAGGGGTGCGGAAGGGCGGGAGAGTACGCCCCTTTACCCGCTCCCCTTCGCAGTCCCCCCAGCAATGTTGGGTTGGGGGTATGGGTTGGCCCATGGAGGCGGTTTGAGGCATGAGGGAGATGGGAGCTATGTGGTGGTGGGAGGCATGGAATGGGTGCAGCCCGAGAGGGGTGCAGAGGGTGTGCTACCCCAGTGGTGGGAGAGCCAAGAGTAGGGTCAGAGGGAAGAGAGGCGAGGGTGGGGTGGAGGGCAGGGGGGAGGAGAGAAGGGCAGCAGGAGAAGTGGATGCGGAGTGGAGGGGAGAGGCGAGGGAGGGTGGGCGGAGGGGAGATGGGAGGGAGGGTGGGCTAAGGGGTGAGGCGAGGGAGGGTGGGCGGAGAGGAGGAGGGAGTGAGGGTGGGCGGAGGGGAGAGGTGAGGGAGGGTGGGCGGATGGGAGAAGAGAGGGAGGGTGGGCAGAGGGGAGAAGCGAGGGAGGGAGGGCGGAGGGGAGAAAGGAGTGTAGTGAAAAGGCAAACTTAGCCGACCACTTACACCGGCGTGGAGGGGTGGAGCAGGTAAGGCGAGGGGTGCCTTGGGCGATCTCATGTTTACAGGAGGCGCCGAAGCTTCTCCTGCCCCACACCCCTCGCTGCACCCATCTCCTCCGTCACACCCTCCCTCTCCATTTTCCCGCGCACCGCCCCCCTGAATATTGGCCCCCACTCATCAGGAACACCCACCAGGTGGTCACTCCGGAGCTGACCACGCTCGTGACTGAGCTGCTTGGGGAGCTGTTGCGGATCCAAGTTATGGCGTTCTCAAAGGACTCCCACAAGGTGATGCTAGGGGAGTTCATATTATTTTATTTCTTTCTCAAGAAGCCGTCGCCTTGTGCTGCTCGCTAGGCCCTGGCGTTGCAATTGCAACCACCATGCACATGCCCCCTCCCTTCCACATTTCCCTACTCTCCTCATCCCCCCTCCCCCTCCCCAACCTCACTCCCCCCTTCACATCATCATGCGTTTCCCATCCGCCTTTGCCCCTGTGAGAGAGTTATTTTTTTCCAAGAATTGTCCAAGTACACAGCTTTCAACATTCAAACCACCCCTCCACCCACCCCATACATTAGACATGGGCGTTTTGTCCCGACCTGACCCGCTTTTTTATTCGGTTTTGGTCGCAGTGTCCTGTCAGGTCGACCCAGCCGGAATGGGTCGACTTGTTTGGGGTCGATCGGGTTGACCTTAGGGAAACTGGCCGGTCCAACCTGACCCGACCCGATTTCGGGTCAGTGGTATAAAAACGGGTCGCAAGGCACCCACCCATTTTCCCCCGACATTTCACCGGGGGTTGACATTTCGACCCCCAGTTTTCATATCTATTTGAGACATAGCACCCAGATTGGCTCAGTCTAAGCCTAAGTACTAGCATTTGCCATGCAATTTTGACGAAGCGGGTTAAGACATTGTAACATTCAGGCATTCCGCCCTGAACCTGCCATGATACCCTAAACGCATCGCATTCCTCATGCACTTCCGCAGCCGTGGGCCCCTCCACCTTAGAGAAGGGCACGCACGCCACTGCGAGCAGCAGGTTGGTGTGGCACACACACGCGCGCGGCAAACCTACCTGCTAACGGCATGCAGCCCTAGAGTTTGAAAGCAGCGCACGCCACCTCAGGCAGCCTTGACGTCGCCCTCCTCCCGTCCATTATATCAGAAGCAGCAGCAGATAGCATTCCCAGCTCAAACCACCTTATCCACCCATCCCACCCAAACCCACCCACCTCATCCCACCCCTCCCCTTTCGCCCTCTCACCAGGCGGCCTTTATCCGGACCTCACATCCATGAGGTGGAGAGTGGGGGGGTCCAATGCACGAGGGTGAATGCGCACAGAATCCCCGTGCTTGTGGCTCTCTCTAGAGGTCGCCTGGCCAAGGTGACTGCAGGTGTGGAATGTGGTGGGGTGTTGATGCTATTGTTAGAATCCTAGGCAAAAGTGGATTGAACTATCGAGAGGGTTGGTACAAACAAAAAACCTAAGGGGTTGTACCCTACAGTGAGTACCCCACTAAAGCCTACCTAAACTATAACATATAAACATATGTTTGACACACCCCCATAGGCAAAGTGGGGGAGAACAAAGGGTCACAAGGCCAAGCAGGAAGTGCAAAGCAAGCTCAGGGTGGATCACAATGTCACCACGCAGTCTGAGCACAAGCAAAAGGCCACAAGGCCAGTTCACATGCAGAGATATATATGTAACAACAACAGCACAGTGATATCTACCTACAAGAGCAAGCATGCAGGTATACATATAGATCACAGTACAAACAAAGCCTACAACAAGTGAGGAAGCGTGGGCACAAGGCCTAACAAAGTGCAAAAACGCTGATGATCACCAGGCGGAAGCGCCTTGGTGAATATATCAGCAGTGTTGGCCCGAGTGGCCACGTAAGTAAGACGAAGCTGGCCACGCTGCTGCAGCTCTCGAGCAAGGAAGTAACGCAGAGCGATGTGCTTTGTTCTGTGCTCCAGTCTGTGCTCCTGACACAAGGCAATGGCGGCCTTGTTGTCGACGTACAGAACTGGAGGAGAACGAGGCCGCTCTCCCAAGTCGGACAGCAGGTAGGTGAGCCAGCGTAGCTCCTGTGCAGCCATGGCTGTGGCGTAGATCTCGGCCTCACAGCTGGAGCCGAGAACTGAAGACGAACGTGTAGAACGCCAGGAAACTGAACCAGAACCAAGGCTGAAGGTGTAACCCTGTGACGACTGTTGCGTAGCCTGGTCGTCAACCCAAGAGGCGTCCGAGTGACCAGTGAGGACAGCGTCACCCCGTCCTCCAAGCACGAGCCCCATGCCCGATGTACTGCACAAGTAGCGTAGTACCCTCTTAGCAGCATCCATGTGCACCTTTCGGTGCCGACCAGGAGCCACGTAGCGAGCCAGAAGGCCATGAGGGTATGCAAGGTCAGGACGAGTGCAGGTCATCAGGTACATTAGGCAGCCCACTAGCTCTGGGTAAGGACCAATCGGCTCTACGGACTCGTCCGAAGGTGGAGCTGAGAGCGAGTGACCTGTAGCCAGAGGAGTGGCCTGTGCTGAGGACCAGGTGAAGCCGAAGCGCTGAAGGACCTGCTGCACCATGTGTGACTGAGTCAGTGTGATGGTGCGGCGTGCTCTGTCCCGGGTGATCTGCAAGCCAAGATAGCTGCGCAGCTCACCCAGGTCTGTGCACGTGTGTCTCTTCTGCAGCTCCGACTTCACCAGGGCGAGAGCCTCAGTGTCAGCAGTGGCAAAGACCAAGTCGTCGACTTACACGAGGATGTAGAACGGCGGCAGCGAAGTGTCGGTGCGCAGAAACATCGACGGGTCAGCAGTCGACGGAGCAAACCCAAGAGCCGCAAGTGTCGTCCTCAGTGTGTCGTGCCACTCACGTGGTGCCTGGCGGAGACCGTAGACCGGCCGGCGGAGGCTCCACTGGGTACCAGGAGGGAACGACCCAGTGAAGCCAGGAGGGCGGCGCAGCCAGATCTCCTCGTGTAGGCTGCCCTGTAAGAAGGCTGTGCTGAAGTCAGGAGAGTGAAGCTCGTAGTCACGCTGAGCGGCAACGTGCAGAAGCACCCAAAGAGTGGTCATCTTCGGGGTGGGGGAGAAGGTCTGAAAGAAGTCAACTCCCTCTCGCTGACTGAAGCCTCGAGCCACGTAACGAGCCTTGAAGACAGGCGGAGAACCTGGCGGCCGCTTCACCCTGAAAATCCACATGCCACTGACAATGTTCGCCCCAGGAGGGGGAACCTCGTCGACGTAGGTGCCTGTGGACTTCCAGGATGCCATCTCTGCGTCCATGGCTGTCTGCCACTGAGAGGAGTACTCACCCGCGATCGCCTCAGCGTAAGAGCGCGGGGTAGGGATGTCTGGTGCATCCGGGTCTCCCTCAGGGGCAAGCAGCATGGACACGAGATGAGGCGCAGCGGCTGCAAGACACTCAAGGTCCTCCTGCCTGTCCTCAAGGACGTCCGTGCCAAGAGCACACTCACCCCCGACGGACGGAGGACAGACAGACTCAGACTCAGCAACAAGACTGGCGGCGTAGTCTAGACGACAGCGAGCAGCAAAGTCAACAAGCTCAGCGACTAAGGCAGACGCAGCAGCAGACTCAAACGATGGGTCAGTGACAACAGTGGCAAGCAGACGCGTGATAGTAGAGTGCCCAGCACGAAACTGGTCAGACGCAGGGTCAGCAAGAACAGGCAGAGAGGACGCAGGGGGAGACGGCAGAGGAACACGACGACCGGAACGACCAGAACGGACAGGTGAGACAGGACGCGACGCAGGCTCACGACGCTCTGCAAGGCCCCCAGGCTGCTCTGTGTACGGAGAAGGAGCAGGCAGTGGTGAGCCAGGCTGTAACGGAAGACCAGTAGACGAGGGAAGACCGAGAACCTGGCAAAGTGCAGAGTCAGGTGGTGGCTGAGACGACGGAGACGGCGGAGCGAAGAAAAGGCACGGCTGAGCAGTGCTACCAGCACCAGCAGCTCCAGCACCTCCAGCAGCTCCAGCACCTCCAGCAGCTCCAGCACCTCCAGCAGCTCTAGTACCCTCAGCAGCTCCAGCACCGCCAGTAGCTCCAGGACCCTCAGCAGGTCCAGCACCTCCAGCACCTCCAGCAGCTCCAGTACCTCCAGCAGCAACACCGCCAGCCCCAGCAGCTCCAGTACCCCCAGTACGAGCACCTCCGGGAACAGCGACACCAGCTCCAGAACCCCCAGCAGTAGAGCCCTGAGGTGCAGAAGTGCGACGCTGACGACGACCGTACCAGTCGTGCAGCTACTGGGAGGTGAGGGGCACACGCGGACGAAGACGACTACTCCAAGGAGACCGCGTAACAGCAGTCTCAGAACCCTCAGGCGACTCACCCCCAGACTCAGCACCCCCAGGCTCCGCACACGCAGGCTCAGCACCCCCAGACGCAGCACCTCCAGACGCAGCACCCCCAGACGCAGCACCTCCAGGCTCCTCACGCGCAGGCTCAGCACCTCCAGGCTCCACACGCTCAGCTCCCCCAGACTCAACACCCCAAAGCTCCTCACCCCCAGGGACAGCACCACTCCCAGCAGGACCGGAGTCACCAGTGACCTCAACAAGCGCAGGCGCGGGGGGGTCTACCTGAGAGACACCTGAAGGAGCAGGACCTGGCGCGGGGAGGGGGTCTACCTGGGGAGGACCTGGGGCGAGAAAGAGCGGCGGGGGGGGGCGAGGAGCAGTGCGGTAGGGGAAGAGGCGGTAAACCTAAGGGGTTGTACCCTACAGTGAGTACCCCACTAAAGCCTACCTAAACTATAACATATAAACATATGTTTGACAGCTATTAGGTAACACACATTGAGGTGGGAATGGGGGGGTAGGTGGTATTGCATGGGGCATTTTTGTGGTTGTGGCTCTCTCAAGACGACGCCCTGGCCAAGGTGAGTGCAGGTGAAGGTGGGGTGGTGGTTGGCTGTGCTTAGTAGATTACTGGCTGCAGTGGGGAATGAAGGATTGGTCGAGGTAAAGCCATGTGACCAGGCAGGTGGAGGGAAGGGGGGTGAGGGGAACGGAACAAGTGTGTATGTTATAGATCCTCGTTCCTGTCACGTGAATCGACTTAAAGTGTGTGTGTTACTGATCATGGCTCTATCAACAAGAAGTAATTTAGTGGGGGTAGTGCGTGCATGAGGGTGAGCACTGACATTGGTGGCGTGGCGGAAGAAATGCAGAAGAATAAGGTGGAATTTGGAATGGGGAGGGTGTGAGTGGGGAGTGTCGAGTCGACTCAACCCTGGCCATGACCCTCACTTAACCTCTCCTCCCTCAGGCTTGAGGTAATATTAGATTTTGACTCCAAAATAGTTGACCCTCACTCATTAACCTTTCCTCCCTCCCTGTCAGGACTTGAAACCCCTTTGTGCCGTCGCAGGCCTCCCTTTGTGCCGTCGAAGCGGGCAGCGCTTGCACTGCCAGGGCAGCATCAGTCCAACCAGTTGGTACTGCCGTGAAGAGAACTCAATCCACCCCATTCTGCCCCCACCATCTCACTCTCACCACCACTCTCCCACCACCATCTCACTCGCACCACCATCTCACTCCCACTACTATCTCACTCCCACCACCATCTCACTCCCAATCTTTCCTCTAGGAAGCCGCAATACGTACTGCAGTCAAACGCAGAGTCCTGCCACAAGGGAGAATTTCCAACAACCCAATCATGGCATGCAGCTTGGGTTGTGTGCCCCTTCACGAAGTGTAAAGATACGTACAGTTACTGGCATTAATAAATCAGGTAGATGTACTGCGCTAGCTAGGTTCGTTCATATGTGTTGCAGCGCCTGAATAATTTATCGTGATATTTTAAATTGGCAATTGAAATTGTATCCTGTAGAGAGAATTATTGTTTTTATTTTATCATTCTACATAGAACCTGGTTCTTCACGTTATCTATAAAGTAGTGTAATCAGTTTCTGTAGGTGTGTAATATGTTTCTGAAGGATTCCTTTAGCGAGTGTGTTCCGAGGTGCTTGCGTCAGCTGGTTCGGCCTAAAAGTTCGCGCTGAACCACTTCCGAGTCGCCACCGTACCTTTCGCGACGCTTCCGAACCTAGCTACCCCAAGGTCCTCGCCTAGCTCGACTCTGCCTGTATCATCTCGTTTTGAACATTCATTGGACATTCAGTAGCACTCTTCAGCTTTCAAATTTTAGTGCATTTCAGTTCTTTCGGGAAACCCTCCCACTCATAACAAATCACTCATTTTGTGTCAGGCCAAATTGTGTCAGGCCAAATTGTGTCAGGCCACCATTTGCGGGCTGCTGGCTAGGCTGGAGTCACAGGACAGGGGGACCCGTCAGTGGGGCACCAGATAGTGGCTCGATAGAGATCGCGTCGAAGCGTCAGACAGGGTGACGAGAGCGCAACGGACGGCGACAAAACCGTGACAGACAGGGCGACGAAAATTTGACAGACAGAACGACAGTAGACAACGAAACAGGGACAGACAGAGCGACACTAGATGACAAGAGCAAGAAGAACCGCTACATCAGAGGCGCGAGGAGCAGCGGCAATGGCGGATGGGGGAAGCACGGGCGCGCAGGCGAGGCTTCCGGCGGCTGCAGTGGCGGAAACAGCACCGTCGCTGTGAGCACCACAGGCTGGAGCGGCGGCGCCGGCACTGGCGCGAAGAGGCGGTGGAAGCCCGCGCCGGTCGCGCTCCGCCTGGACCACTTCCTCGCCGTCGCCACCGACGCCGCCCCCGCGGCTACCGCTGCCATTCCTGCTGCACGCGCGCCTCTACCGCCGCCTCCGCGAGAGCCCGCGGAAATCGGTTTGAGCGTGGATGGGCCCAGAAATGACGGGCGGCCGCGCGGAGGGGGAAGGGGAGGCGGAACGGGGAGGGGAGTCGCAGGGAGGGGAGGGGAATAGGTGGATACTAGCGCGTTTGGTCTGGGTTTGGCGGAAATGAAGCGAGGGGTGGGAGAACGGGGGGCAGGAGGGCGGAAGAGAGGAGAAGGCGCGGGCGGAGGGGTGGGGACTGGTGGGGACGGGCGGGAAAGGGGGAAAAACGGGGGAAAGGTGTGAGAGGGCATGCGCGAGAGAGGGTCCGTGGAGACGCGCTGTGGAGGGGTGGATGAAAGCTATGAGGCGGCGCATCCCCTGCATCCCCCTCTCCCTCCCCATCCCCCTCTCCCTCCCCATCCCCCCCGCAACGACGCACAGGAGCAGGGAGCGATGAGGTGGTGCATGCTAGCGGGGTTGAAGGAGGTGGCGCAGGTGGGCAAGGCTGTTGGACATTTCCTTGTGTTTCCTCATGTCCGCCGCGTGCGGTGCGCAGTGGGAGGGCCAAGTGTGTGGTGCTGGCGCCTAACGTGGAGGAGGTGCCTGCCTGGGGTAGGTGAGGGGAGGGAGGTGAGGGGAGGGAGGTGAGGGGAGAGAGGTGAGGGGAGAGAGGTGAGGGGAGAGAGGTGAGGGGAGGGAGGTGAGGGGAGGGAGGTGAGGGGAGGGAGGTGAGGGGAGGGAGGTGAGGGGAGGGGAGGGAGGGGAGGGGAGGGAGGTGAGGGGAGGGAGGTGAGGGGAGGGGAGGGAGGGGAGGGGAGGGAGGTGAGGGGAGGGAGGTGAGGGGAGGGAGGTGAGGGGAGGGGAGGCAGGTTAGGGGAGGTAGGTGGGGGGAGGGTGGTTATGGGAGGGGTAGGCGAGGGGAGGGGTAGGCGAGGGGAGGGAGGTGAGGGAAGGGAGGTGAGGGGAGGGGTAGGCGAGGGGAGGGAGGTGAGGGGAGGGGTAGGCGAGGGGAGGGAGGTGAGGGGAGGGAGGTGAGGGGAGAGAGGTGAGGGGAGAGAGGTGAGGGGAGAGAGGTGAGGGGAGGGAGGTGAGGGGAGAGAGGTGAGGGGAGGGAGGTGAGGGGAGGGAGGTGAGGGGAGGGAGGTGAGGGGAGAGAGGTGAGGGGAGGGAGGTGAGGGGAGGGAGGTGAGGGGAGAGAGGTGAGGGGAGGGAGATGAGGGGAGGGGTAGGTGAGGGGAGAGAGGTGAGGGGAGGGAGGTGAGGGGAGGGAGGTGAGGGGAGAGAGGTGAGGGGAGGGAGGTGAGGGGAGGGGTAGGTGAGGGGAGAGAGGTGAGGGGAGGGAGGTGAGGGGAGGGAGGTGAGGGGAGGGAGGTGAGGGGAGAGAGGTGAGGGGAGAGAGGTGAGGGGAGAGAGGTGAGGGGAGGGAGGTGAGGAGAGGGAGGTGAGGGGAGGGGTAGGTGAGGGGAGAGAGGTGAGGGGAGGGAGGTGAGGGGAGGGAGGTGAGGGGAGGGAGGTGAGGGGAGGGAGGTGAGGGGAGGGGTAGGTGAAGGGAGAGAGGTGAGGGGAGGGAGGTGAGGGGAGGGAGGTGAGGAGAGGGAGGTGAGGAGAGGGGTAGGTGAGGGGAGAGAGGTGAGGGGAGGGAGGTGAGGGGAGGGAGGTGAGGGGAGGGGAGGGAGGGGAGGGGAGGGAGGTGAGGGGAGGGGTAGGTGAAGGGAGAGAGGTGAAGGGAGGGAGGTGAGGGGAGGGAGGTGAGGGGAGGGAGGTGAGGGGAGGGAGGTGAGGGGAGGGTGGTTATGGGAGGGGTAGGCGAGGGGAGGGGTAGGCGAGGGGAGGGAGGTGAGGGAAGGGAGGTGAGGGGAGGGGGAGGTGAGGGGAGGGAGGTGAGGGGAGGGAGGTGAGGGGAGGGGTAGGCGAGGGGAGGGAGGCGAGGGGAGGGAGGTGAGGGGAGGGAGGTGAGGGGAGGGGTAGGCGAGGGGAGGGAGGTGAGGGGAGGGAGGTGAGGGGAGGGAGGTGAGGGGAGGGGTAGGTGAGGGAAGGGAGGTGAGGGGAGGGAGGTGAGGGGAGGGAGGTGAGGGGAGGTGTAGGCGAGGGGAGGGACGTGAGGGGAGGGAGGTGAGGGTGGGTTAATGATGGGTGGCGCTGGAGAGGCAAGTGTGTGGTGGTGGCAGCTACTGTGGAGGAGGTGTATGGGGCAGGTGAGGGGGGGGGGGGATGATGGTGGAAGGCGCATGGGTGGGGTAGGCGTTATGCAGTGGAAAGGCCAAATGTACCCAATGGGGAGGGGAAAAGGCGCCTGGGGAAGGTGAGATGAGAAAGATGAGGGGAAGGTATGGATGGGAGGTGAGAGGAAGGGTTAGAGTTGTTAAGTGCGAGGTGCTGGCCATCTGCGTAGGAGAGTTGCTGTGGGCAGGTGAGAGGAGGAGAGGGGGGTGGGTGTGGGTAGGAGGAAAGGAGGGTGGGAGGGCTCCACTTGTCCCTCGCAACCCCCCTCGCACCCCCAAGGAGGATCACCTTGCCGTGGGCTGCTGTCGGCAGGCTCTGGGACACATGGCACATGCGGTGAGTGTTATGCCCACTAACCATGCCCACTAACCATGCCCACTAACCATGCCCACTAACCATGCCCATGCCCACTAACCATGCCCAGCTACCCATGCCCAGTTACCATGCCCAGTTACCATGCCCAGTTACCCATGCCCATCCACCCATGTCGCTTCACATGCCCATCCACCCATGTCGCTTCACATGCCCATCCACCCATGTCGCTTCACATGCCCATCCACCCATGTCACTTCACATGCCCATCCACCCATGTTGCTTCACATGCCTATCCACCCATGTTGCTTCACACATGCCCATTCACACATGCCCATTCACATCACACATGTCCCTTCACATATTCCCCTTCACTAATGCCCATCACCATCTTCCGTTACCACCCACCATCGCACACGACCACCCACCACCACACACCACCGTCGTGCAGGTATCTGCCTTCACTCGCATCATTGACGCCCATCCGACCCTCAAGATGCACCCGTCCTCTTCCACGCCTTTTACCAGGTAAGCTGTGGGGGCGGTGTGTGCCTTGTAGGGAATCACCAGGTAAGCTGTGGGGGCGGTGTGTGCCTTTTAGGGAATTACCAGGTAAGCTATGGGGGCACCAAATTCCTGGTGAGGGGGAGATGGTAGGGGGTGCCGTGGGCACAAGAGGGAGAGATGGGGTAGTGGAGCAAGCGCGAGGGGGAGAGGGGGAGAGGTGGAGAGGGTAGTGGCTAAAGCAAGAGGGGGGGAGATGGTGGAGGAGAACCATGAGTCAAACCGAGACAACTACAGTCAGTTTGTGGGTTGACATGGCAGTCCCCTGAGTGGCTTATCCATTGTTGATGTCTTCAGCACTAGGTGAAAATCAGAGAGCATGAGGGGAAACTGTAGTACCTGACACATCCGTTGTAGTCTAGTTGGTTAGGATACTCGGCTCTCACCCGAGAGACCCGGGTTCAAGTCCCGGCAACGGAATCTCTATTTGGTGGGCCTGGAAGGCACACTTCAGTGTGTGGTCACAGGAGACACAACCCAAAACATTGACAGCGTAGCGTGTGTTGTGCACAATTGACCTCTTGCCACCTGACGTCCAAACAAAGTGGTTTTGCAGCTGTGAGGGAGCGATGAGGGAAAGAGTGCCTTTTTGTGCCAGTCCCCAGCTCTCACCGCCCTTGCACTAAATAATAATTCTAGTCGACACATGTATGGGCATACAAAAACGACACAAGCAACCTCTTCTTCCACCTTTCCATGCTGCCTCATGCTGCTTCTCTTGACCCTTACCCTTCCTGTCATCTGCCCCTTTCTCCGCCCCCTTGAGAACCTTTGAGTGTACAAAAAGGGCCAAACGAGCATCTTCTTCCCTGCTGCTGCACTTGCTCCTTTCCTTTCTCGTTACCTTCCTGTCCTGTGCCCCATTCTACCCCACCTCCGCACACTTCAGGACCACTAGGCGTACATGAGGGATCCAAGGAACCACTAAGCGTACAAGAGGGATCCAAGGAACCACTAGGCGTACAAGAGGGATCCAAGGAACCACTAGGCGTACAAGAGGGATCCAAGGAACCACTAGGCGTACAAGAGGGATCCAAGGAACCACTAGGCGTACAAGAGGGATCCAAGGAACCACTAGGCGTACAAGAGGGATCCAAGGAACCACTGGGCGTACAAGAGGGATCCAAGGAACTCCCTTCCCTTTCCCCTTCGCTTTCAACCTCCCTCTCCCCTTACCCCATTCCCCTTCGCTTTCAACCTCCCTCTCCCCTTACCCCATTCCCCTTCGCTTTCAACCTCCCTCTCCCCTTTCCCCACTCCCCTTCGCTCCGCTTCCCTGTATCCTACCCTTCCTCTTACCCACTCCCGTCCCCTGTGAGGAGATAAACTCTACAACGGTAGTGAGCTAGACTATGGGGTTGGCACGAACTACTATGAGGTGATCGTAACTTTGCCTAGTTCCTTGGTGCTTGCACAATCACGGGAGAAATTGGCAAGAGTTTCACTAGCAAAGTTGGAGTTACAGAATTGTACAACAAGCAATGACAAGGATGACTACATCAGGCACCTAGCAACTCTGCAGCTATCCTGGTCGACAGACAGCACAGCATGGTCGACCGCCTGCCAGCGTTGCGTAGAGGAGCCGCGCCAGCACTGCAGAAAGGCGACCTGCCAACACAGCAAGTCGACGGTGTGCCAACGCTGCAGCAGAGCGACTGTCCAGCGTTGCCCCGTAGAAGACAGCAGTGCGCACGCTCACAGATGCGCGCAGACGATTGGCCCGACTTGCATCCGTCGGCTATTGTCTGCGCGTGACGAGCCACATCGACTTCGGGATACCAACCCGAAGTTACCTTCGCCATCGCGACCTCGACGACGTTCGCGTGCCTCCGCAGAACTCGCCGAGCGGATTTCCCGGTCGTCCTGGACGACCACCAGATGCCCCTTGGTCAACCATAGCTCCCGTCGAGCTACCCCCTGGTCGACGGACCCCTTCCGTCGACCAGAACTGTCAGCTGTTGTCGCCGAGCTCCCCTCGTCGACCGCTGCTCACTTGTCAGGTCGACGGACAGCTTCGTCGACCTCCTGGTCGAACCGCAGGTCGACGGATTGCTCCGTCGACCTCCCATTCGAACTGTCCCTCCTGGTCGACGGCTCCACCCGTCGCCCAGACCAGTCAGTTGCAGCTGTCGAACTCCCTGGTCGACAGCAACACCACAGCGGTCCCCTGCAGCTCGACGAAGCGTGTCGAGCAGCTCTCCCACTGCAGATGGTCGGCTGCTATTCCCGTACATTTGACCAAGTCGTCGGCATTGCCCAAGCGAGGGCGGGGCCAACACTTCACTCCCGTTAACACTCCCCTGCCACGCTCACGCTTGGGCCCCCAGCCCACACGGCAGCACACTACGGAGAAAACTCGTACTCGGCGTGCACCCCTTACACAGCACGCCGTCACCGCACCAGCCGTGCAGAAAGGCACGGCACCTACTGCTGCACATCATCGTCGCCGTCGCCGACGTCATCCAGGCGAACTTGGCCGATGGCGACAGAACACCGGTTGAAAGCCGGAAAATGCAGCGCCTTCGTCAGGAAGTCTGTCGGCTGCTCGGTGGTCGGGATGTACCTTAGTACGAACTTCCCGCGCCTCACCACGTGCTGCAGCCAGGCATAGCGTCGCTCCATGTGCTTGAGGTTGCCCGTCAGCCCCAAGCCTTCAGCGACCGCAATTGCCGATTTGTTGTCGACGCGAAGGATGGTCGGCTTCCCAGCGTTGAGCAGCTTGAATTCCGCAAGGAGGAAACGAAGTCTGCGTCCCTCCTTGCCCGCATCTGTGGCCGCAACGTACTCCGACTCTGTCGATGACAATGTCGCGCACTTGATGCGTGAGCTCGACCAGGAAACGGCGGCCCCTCCGTAGACGAACACGTAGCCGCTCGTGCTCGTCCGCTTCTGCTTGTCTCTCGCGTCGTCAGCGTCCACATAGCCGATCAGCTCCAGCGACTCTGGTTCTCCGCCGAACTCCAGGGCGGTATCGCGGGTGTCAGCGAGGTAGGCAAGGCAGCGGTCGACCTCGTGCCAATGCTGGTTGCTCCTCACCGTGAGGCCGCTCCCCAGCTTGCTGCAGGCAAACGCGATGTCCGGCCTCGTCGTTGTCGCCGCAAATTGCAGTGAGCCAACTTTCTGCCGGTACTCCTCCTCCTCGCGCTCCTGCGCCTCCTCGTCGTCGAATGTCACCTCGGTGTAGGCATCGACCGAGACCGGCGTCTTTGGGACCCGACCGCCCTGCTCATCGTCGATGAAGCGCCTGCGCAGCTTATCGGCGTAGCCCTGCTGGTGAAGCCACAGCTTCCTCACTGGCCTGTCGCGCACGATCTCCAGCCCGAGGTACTTGACGACTGGCGAAATCTCGCGCAGCTCGAAGGCATCCTCCAACAGCTGCTTTAGCTCCTTCAACATCGCGGGGCTGCTGCTGGCGGCGAGCAGGTCGTCGACGTAGATCAGCATCCAGCAGGTCACTCCGTTGTCGCTGGCCTTGAAGTAGAGCGCCTCGTCGACCTGGCTCTTCTTCCAGCCGGCGCCCAGCAGCACTCCGTCAAAGGCCCTGTACCACAGCAGCGGAGACTGCTTCAGCCCGTAGAGGCTCTTCAGCAGCTTACACACCCAGCTAGTCCCATCATCGAAGTAGTCCGGCTGGTACATGTAGAGCACCCTATCGAGCTTGCTCTGCAGGAAAGCGTTTTTCATGTCGAGCTGCATCAGGTTGAGGTCGAGGGCGGCGACGATGCTGAGGAAAATCCTCAGCGTGACGTAGCTGCTCACCGGTGAGTACGTCTCGTCGTAGTCGGCACCGTACACCTGCGTGAAGCCCTTCACGACCAGCCTCGCCTTCTCGCGCTCGACGGTGTCGTCGAGGCGGTACTTGGTCGTCAGCACCCACCGGTTCTTCATGATGTTCACCCCGCGTGGGCGTTCGACCAGCTCCCAATTGCCCATGCCGACGAGGCTGCGGATCTCTTCTTCCATGGCGGCTTTCACCGCCTTCCCCTTCCAGCTCGCCAGCGCCTCCTTTACCGTCATTGTGGCGATGTCCCAGCGGTGTTCGGGGTCTGCGTGCATGTCGGGGTCGAGCTCTGGCAGTTCGTCATCCTCCTCGGCGTCGTCGTACAACAAGTCGTACTTAGTGGTGAAGGCAGCTGGTGGCAGACAGGCGTAGAAGCTCAGCCGCTCCGGTGGCCGTCGAGCCCGACCTGTGCGTCGCAGCTCAGGCTTCGTGATCGGCACCTCTACCACGTCGCTGTCGGTGGATTCTTCTCCTGCCGACAGCTCCCCTTCTTCGTTGATGGCCAGCTGCTGCTTCGAACCTTCGACCAGCTGCTCACCTCGTGCTGACTTAGACAGCTCCCCTGTCGAATGCACCCCTACTGATGCCTCCTGTTCGACCGGCTCCCCTGTCATCGACGGCTTCCCATCCTGGTCGACGAGCTTGGCGCCTTGTCGACCGCCGGCGATGCCACAGG